TTGTCACAAAAAAAATCCACAGCTGTCTCCACTGAACATTTTATTAAGACCTTGAGCAATGTTGACAATTGAATCATCAATCCCCTCACTCTTTATTTATAACTTGAAGCAAACATGTCTCCTTATATTTACTTTAACCTTAGCTAAAGCAAAAGATTGTCAGCATTGCTCAATGTCAATGTCAATGGTATTTTATCAGTGTCAAATTAACACTTTATCTTACCATGACACAATACAAGGTTTCATTTCTTACATATTTACCATTACTTGGTATAAATCAGTAATCATTAGCCTACATATGTTGATTTATAATATCTTCATACCAAATTTACATAATCTTATTCCTTTAAGAGTCACCAATAAATCATGAATAAAATTATCCAATTATTGTCTTGGTTTACTACATGTCCTTTGACAATATAATCCTTATTTTCCAAGTCCTTTCCTGGGCCCAGGTACCTTTAAGGCCTCTTTTCACCATCAAGTGGTTCCTAAAATATACTGAATAAATAAAATAACAAAGGATTATATATAATATGGATTATAATTATATCATATTATGTACATTATAATAGATTATCATAAGGTTAATATAGACGCAGTATAGAGCGTATGCAATTATAGAGAAATATACATATAAAAATCCGAATGAATGCTCAATCATATTAACTGAGGTCCCATTATAGTTGCATAAGTCTTACTGCTCACACAATTTCATTCTCATTCGTGGGCTTAGGACGAAAATTCCTTGAAATAAAGGCAGACCCCAATTTCAAAAGCACTTTCCGTTGCTTCCACAAATAAATAGTCAATCCAATTAATGCTATTAATAGTATGGCCGCAATGACAAATTGTAAGATTTGAACCCAAGAGGAATTAAGCACTTCAAGGTCAGATGGGGGTTCAGATATGGAATACCACGAGTTTTGATTTTTCAGATCTGCAATAACATCATTTAAACCTAACTTATATTGTTTGTCCTTCTTGCTTGGGTCAATCAATTTTGGAATTGAGGGCAAAGGAGGGTATGCAAATTTTTCAATGTCAGAATCTCCAAAATTCCACTCTATCAATGTTGAATGAAATTTCGCTAAAAATGCTACATTTTTTACCTCAGGATTAATAATTTTCTGCTCTGGACAACTTCCTGGGGCATAATGAACTATTTGATTTTCTGATCTTAAATGACACCGACAGGGTAATTGGACAATACATGATGGAGTGACACATAATTGCCTAAATTCTGCTTCGTCCTCACAAATCATTGAAATGTTTCCTGTGAAATTTTGCATTAAAACATAGCCGTTTATCATAGACACCCCATCCTGTATCTCTCCCAAAATCACATCAATATTACAAGATTGTGCAGCTTTTACCAATCTGCCCAGAAACAAATTTGCCATACAGGTGTCATTTTTGATAATTTGAGGACTAACAGCCTCTGTGCACTTCCCTTCTTTGCATGTAGCAAATTGAGAAGTAGACAGGGTAATGTACATTTCCATCTGATCATCAAATCCCACATAATCAAAGTCATTTCTCAGGATAGTAGCAGATTTGGTTGTACTGATAGACACAGGATTTGTTTTTATGTTATATACATTAAAAAAACCATGTCGTCTTCTAAAAGGAATTCGCATTGTTATATATATAGCAGTATCAGTGTAACCCCCAAATACAGTCATTGATCTATAATATTTGTCAAGAGAATCATAGGTTAATTCCCATTCTGTACCTAGATTTGTAACCAACTGTAATTTAACCATTTCTAATATACTCTTTAATTCATTCGGAGCAACAAACGTAAATGGAAGCCTCCCCTCTAGCATTTGAGTAATTCCAGATAAAAAAGTGACATAAGAACTTTCAATCTCTGTAATTTGTTTTGATCGAATATGAATTGCCCGAGCTAAAAAAAATATAACTTTTCTAAGTTGTCTCACATGCGTGTTTAGTATATTAAGATCCTGTCTGGTATTGGCTATTTGAATAGAAACATTTGACAATGCCTCATAAATAATTTCCTCATTTTTTGCCATAACAGATACTAAATTGTCAATGCGAGATGATGTTAAGTTAGCCATTGCAACCATACTATTTCGTATCGCCTTTTGTCCTTCAACAATTGTTCTTTGGTTTTTTTCAAGACTAGTTATGTGTGATGTCATTTGTTCAACATCACCTTGAGTGGCCAGACCCATGAGATGATAAAACCCCCCAAAAATTGATGACAGAAAATTCCGCTTTGACCTACCTTTGGCCAGCTCAATCTTAGGCAATGACATTTTTGCCCCTAGGGTTAACTTGGCCAGGTTCTCATTCATGCTGTCAATGTCAGTTGAGATCGTCATAGCGTAAGACTGGGCTGCCCTACAGGTTTCTAGCCAAAGATTCATTGTCTGCACCATAGTTGCTGGACTTCCAGAAGTTCTCAATACTTGTCCAGTCTCTACCTTAACACAATCAAAGGTTGGGACAACTCTACCATCATATGATTCAGGCCACTCAATGCCTAAAGTGTATATGAAGCTTTCCTCGGATAGGTCAAGTTGTGCAGTGGGGTTGAAAATAACTCCATTAAGTGGGTCGACTTTAACCTTAATGGCGTTACTAACCCCTAATAACATCATCAAAACCAAGATTATCATCATCTTTTACTGCTATTTTCTGGAATACATAAACAAATATTTATACATGTATAAATGTTCACACGTTAATCACTCCAGTATTTTACTGAGGCCACTATTTTGACCTTAAAATTAATTAATTATAAATACTATTGTATAACAGTATTATATACATGTTGCTATATTACTAAAAGAGTTTTCCAGACTCAAACCAATACACTCTTGACACCAGTGATTATACACTCCAGACATGATAAAAATTCACTTGGTTTTCTCGAAGTGTTTTGACCAAGGGGCATGAAACCTTCCAAAGTTAGGTTGATTTGGATAGCTACAATCACCTCCCAAGGCCAAGAATCGATCATGTCTAAATTTAGTACATTTTGGACCCCAACATTGACCCATATAATAGTTTTTAGTGACGTATTCATTTTTCCTTCTTGCATTAAGAAAATGATGTTTAAACTTTCTATAACTTAAAGTTCTGGCAGTTTCTATAAAGTAAAGTGGTAATCTGATTTGAGCCAAAATGGTCTCGGCAACGTCTAAGTATCCAACCTTTACAATGTGATAAAAGGTACCTAAGTTTTCAAATAAGTCTTCAAAAGAATAATGGGGTATACTTCCTTTAATCTTTCTTCTGGCAGTTCTAAGTATGACCACATCATGGCAATTTCAACCAAGTCAAAAGTCTGGAATCTGTTTTCACTCTTCAAATTTTCACATATGTCCGTAAATGTTTGAGAATGGAACTCTTTCAGATCAATAGTATATTTACAATGAACAGAGTTCAACCTTGAAATCTGTTCTGGGCTAAGGTCCTGATCAGGCGTATGCAGCAGGAATGCCTTTATGAATTTGGACTTTGAACAGATGACATGTTCATTATCCAAAATAACATAATCATGATTTAATATGAATCTTATCATGAATTTTTCCGCCATATCCTTGTAATTGTTGTATTTGAATCCCAATGAAACTATTTTAATTATTGTTTATACTTGTTAAAACAATTTCTCAAATCCCGCCCTTGACGAAAAAAATATGCCACAAAGGCAAACCACTGCACTCCATTTACGTATCAACAGCCCATAGTATCCACACTCAAGGCCAAACTCCGCCCCTGTAAATAAATAGATAATTACTCCTATAATTATAGTGAACAATGAAAGCTCTTAAAGACAAGTTTTTAATATTCATGCAAAATGGCATATAAAGTCAAACTGTATATATCAACACAACTTTAATACAGATTAATAATTTATAAAGTATATTTGTCAAAACGATCCTCTTTTGATTTTTGAACCTATTCAGAAGGTGAAACTGGAGACATGTTTCGTCAAACGGTCCCTCTTTCTGAAGGCTAAATCAGTAATAAACAAACAAGTGTCAAAATTGACAGTTATTTTGACATTTTCAAAAACTGAAACTGTAGACATTTTTCGTCAAACGGTTCCATTTCTGAATGCTCAATCTTCCCATTGAATAGCCAAACTTACAAGACCACTTTTTGTTCAAACAAAATCGGGCATATCTTGACAAAATAATCGAGTCCAGAGTGTCACTGGAGACATGTATGCGTCAAACGGCTCCACTCTGAACAACATTTTCATGATGTCAAAATTGATGGACAGAATGTTAAAGCAGCTCTCTGGGGGGATCACTGCGGACATATTTCGTCTCAACGCTGAAACCCGAGAGTACAACTACATTACCCTACCATCAAAAATTATGTGTGACACTGACAACATCTTTCTTTGTCTCAAAGTTAAATATTCGACCAAACCCGCAGTTGGTTCCTATACATTCCTTTTGATATCCTTTCAAATTACACTTTCAATTGGTCATAACCCAGAGCCACCAAGGGGTCCATAAGCTAGTTGTAATGTGATCTTGTATTTATCAAGAAAAATAATGTAGCTAATATACTTGACTATAATTCAAAATACATACCAGAGTGCACACAAAAATGAAAGATAATGTGTAGATAATATTATTTCTGTTTCATTAGTCATGCATGTTCAATTGAAGTATATTAATTGGTTAGGATGTTGCCAAAGATTAAAGTTCTAAAAGATTAAAGTTCAAAAAGATTAGTGTTCAAAAAGCTCAATAAATGATCCCAAGAAAATTATAATCCATGCCGTTTTATATCCAGGAGTTATCTCAAACTAGAGAGACATCATTTATGTTTCAAGGAACCATTCATTAATAAGCCCATTGAAGATGATTACTCATGATAATTTATCATTGTAGTAACCTTATTGTAGGACTTTCTATCCCACAGGTTAAAGATGAACATACACAGTGTACCTAAAACATCTGTATGTTAAACAGGGTGTAATGTGTATACACAAACAACTTGCGGAATGTAACTTCCCATTGCTTCCACTTCAAGCTAGACATTTATAGTGATTAAGCTGAGTGTTAAGAAGTGTTAAATGTTAGTGAAATGCCAAGGAGAGCACAGGCTGCTCAAACTGATAATTTATTAGTCTACTCCTGCCAGTTTACTGAAACCATATGTAGGTTAGCTAAACCTTAATGCCATACAGAAATAGAATGCTCTGAGTTAGGCTTGTAAAAATCATGTAGCAGCCACAGCTAAAATATTTTCAGAAAAACTTCTAGCCTAGCGTCTGCCATTTTGTTCCACTGCAGCCTTGACCTTTCAAAGCTTCCGGTTCATGCTGTCCATTGCAGAGGCATGGACTATAAAACAATTATCATTTGCTAAACATGCAACACTATACCACATTATTGTATGCACTCTAATACAAATTTAATTGACAAATGATTATGTAATTGAATAACCCTCTTCATTTTTAGGGGTTAATAATCAGACTAAATAATTAAAAGAGACCTTACCCTGGAGATGTCACATGTTCTACAACACTATAAAGCTATGAGGGTTTTAATAAAGCATATGATATACACTCCCCTCCATAAGTTTGGCAACCTTTTTTCCCCCATTGAACTACGTGTTAAAGCCTCTTTACCTTTGAATTTTTATTTACTTAACTTGCGAAGAAAATACTTATACTATTGATGGAAACGTAATTTGACTTTATTTCCAATACCTCCAAATTTTCACAATTTTTTTTCTCAATTACAATAGGTCAAAAATTTATGATAAATTTGATGAATTTTTGAAAATCGACATTCCCATGTTAACCAATGGGAAATGGTAGGTTTGCCACAAGTCATATGACAGAATATCCATCTATCCGAGTCCTTGCAAAAAATACGAGTTAGCCTGGCAATTGAATTTGCTAAATTTATTTAACAAAAAATTGATATGTTTCTTCAGGTTCAACAAAGTTATAGGGCTTTAAAGTCAAAATTGTTTTTCAAAAAACCTCTCCCATTGAAATAACACAGGAGGCGAAAAAGTATTTTCAAAAATGACTTTGAAGCGCTGTAACTTTAATATTCATCAAATAAACTCAACACTTAGTGTTCAAAAAAGTTAGACAATTCAATTTTCTATATAAAAATATTTTTTGCTGGATCTTTTACTGAAAAGATATCCTGAATTCTGATTTGCCCTGAACCCACCATTTCCCATTGGATTACATGGGAATGAGGATTTTTAAAAATTCATCAAATTTATCATCAATTTTCGACCTATTGTAATTGACGAAAAAAATTGAGAAAATTTGGAGGTATTGGAATTAAAGTCAAGTTACGTTTCCATCAATATTCTAAGTTATTTTATCGCCGGTTAAGTAAATAAAAATTCAAACGTAAAGAGGCTTTAACACGTAGTTCAATGGGGGAAAAAGGTTGCCAAACTTATGGAGGGGAGTGTATGTGATATGGCTGTATTAATACTTGTTAATGGTTTTTCTGTTTTAATAAATATGTGTTATATTGATTACAAAGGACTTGGAATTAAAAAATGTTGTACACCTGTCAGCATTTCAAAACATGATATTACAGCTGATGGATACTACTTTATTTAATTTTTATTTTTCTTAATGGATACTCATTAAAATTTTCTTTTGACATATGTTATATTCTTGCATGGCTTCTTTTCCTTATAGAACTTTTTCTGGAATGATGATGGGATTTCTTAATATCTTTTTAATCATGGTTATTTAATTATGATAATGGAGATATTATAAAGGATGTAAATGACACAGTGACCTGAGATGACATGATGGCCTATACTACAAGCTATGGACAATTACAATTGTATTATTTCTTAAGACAGACATAGGCACAAAGCGCAGAAGCCCCGAGGCACCAGGCTCCCAAGAAGCCAAAAAGGTATTGACCCCTCTGCTTGGCCTCTCCGAGACGGTCCTCCATACTGTGGATCCTTTCCCACAGCAGACCATGGTGGTGGTCAAAAGAGGACTTGGATATGAGGTTTTCCTCATAATCCTCTTCAACCACACTAGCCATGGCCCTTACCATGGTCATCTCCACAGATAGGCAATCCATCTCGGTGAAGGGATCCCAATTCCTAAGAGGCGTTTTCACCTCAGCCCTTGTGTTATAGAACACTAGATAATCTCCAGTGTCCTCATGCCCCAGAGGCATAGTTAGGGGTACTTCTACACGAAAGTCTAAAAATTCCATTCTGGAAAAGAGATTATTTTAATTAATTTTTTATTTGTTAATTTAACATTGGTTTAATTAAATATAAATCTTTTGTTAATAAATTTTGAGGGAAATCAAATTTAACAGATATGCAATTATAATTATTATTATTTTTATTATTATTTTTTTTTTTTTAATATTCCTAGAATTGAATTACATTCATTTGTATAATTTATTTGGACCACCCTAGTGACACCAGTTGTTATGCCTTTTGATTGTCATTGATGGCGTTTTTGCCTTGCACCGACCGACACCTTTTTTTTACTCAAGGGGGTCTTGAGTCCTAGGGTGATAGGGAATAAGTCTGTTGTAGGATACAACACTCGACTTATTTCCTTTAAGGTGCTTGATCCTGAGGACATTATAGGATATTACTTCAACCACCATATACACCCCAGAATAAAATCGCTTTACCAACTTTTTGCCTTGTGT